CTTCTACTCCCATCAAGGAAGTAGGCCTCTCCATTTTTTAGGATGCGATATCCCTGCACAGCTGAGCTGGTGATACGAGACTATTTTCAGTTTCAACAGATGCATCTCTCAAAGGCTGTTTTAAAATCCAGTAATTACAAATATAAAAAATCTGGGTTAGGGGAAGATGGGATCTGCCAAAAATGTTCCTTCGAAATATTAGAACAATCAGCTTTCCTTCCCTAACACTAACTCGTCTCAAACAAATTGCACAACGATGCACATAACAAGCAACAGACCTGCTGAAGCTTTTTATAATCATCAAGCCTCTACATGAGCGAATTTTTTCTTTCCTAATTAACCCCACATCTAAGCAATACTGCAAAACTTGGTCCTCGCCAAATTACAGACACAAATGCTTTAAAGCAGGCATTTGACCCAAACCAAGCAGAATAGAAGCTTCAATTTACGTGAATAGAACTCCTTGGACCGTTCAAGGTCACTGTTACGGGCGCACTCTGTTGGCAGTTACTAGTGCTTAAAGTTTAACATGAGCGAAATGAGTTCCAATAAGTAACCAGTGAATCAGAAGTCTAAAGTTCCCTTCGCTTCTGAAAGTTTGGTATGATGTGGAGGGGCAATGCCGAAAACTTCCACATACCAAAAAAATTGATTCACAGTTTGAAGTAGGGATTTGCGTGTGGCTGGTGAATTATCGCCATTTTGATCTTAATTTTTAGTCATTTCACAAAGTAACTGAACAAATGTATACCTGGGGTTATATGGGTTTCACAAATGTTTATATATATATATTCCTTCACGTTCCCCAGTGGAACATAGGGCTTCAAGCTAGTGGCCTGAAGATTCTGTAGCTGTGTTTATTTTACAGGATGGGGTTGCTAGCCTCATGCCCAAACTTTCCTCTTTACCAGCATTATTTCTGGCTCAGCGAGGTAAAGAAGTGCGTCGGCCGGGAATCGAACTCCGAACCATGCACATGGTCGGCTAGCTTCCTAACCGCTTTGCCACCGACGCACTTAACAGATGCTCTAGTCATTATATTTTATCCTACTCTAAATTTGACATCGATCGAAAAATTACTTGAAATAGTCTGTTTGTCTAGAAATGCTTATTTTTAGTAGTCTATTAAAAAGATGTGTGTCGGTGGTATAGCGGTTAGGACGCTCGCCGACCATGCACATGGTCCGGGGTTCGATCCCCGGCCGACGCACACCTTTACCTCTCTAAGCCAGAAATAATTCTGGTAAAGAGGAAAGGTTGGGCATGAGGCTAGCAACCCCATCCTGTGAAATAAACTCTGCTACAGAAACTGCAAGCTACTAGCTTAAAGCCCTATGTTCCACAGGGGAACATGAAGGAAAAATTATTTAAAAAAAATTATTAAAAAGATGTAGATTTCACGTTTGTTCGTACACATCAGAATGTCAAACTGGGATTATTTACTGACAAGGTTGGATTTAATGATGGTAATAAATTATCTAAAGTGTAACTACCTACCAGTTAGACTGTATTTTACATACGTGAATTATTCACTCGGTGATAGGTGATTTATTTAGTGACTGTAGAAGTTGAATTAGTTGTGTTCTCTGAGCTGGTTGATTTAATTGAGAAGCTTTCGTCGTCCTTCTGGACGACAGCTTTAGCGCAGGTAGACCGTAGAAGTATTTAAAGCAAATTATGTGATAGTCATATCATAATAAAGCTTTATTTCAGACAATATGCGAACATTTATTACAGAAATTCTCAGCGTGTTTAGTCCTCTTTATACAAGATTTACTTATAAAGTGATAATCTGATGTATTTCGTGGGACATACCGTTGCTGTATATGAGAAGAGAACCAATTCCGTAAGTTTTTTCTTCATTCTTTTTAAGAATTGCCTAGCGCCTAGTTGGAAGCTAATTAAATAGGCTAGCGAGTTCATATAGTGGTCACATGGTATAATTGCACGACTGAAATAATAAGAAATGCAGGAGAGACGAAGATTCTGGTAGCCCAGTGATTTAAACAGGCCACCAGGCTTGAAATCACTATGATGGTCCCTTGTTAGCCAATGAACGTTAATACATTAGCCTGATATGATTCCGAAGTGCAGTGACATAATATTTATTTGAAAGTAATAAAGAGTTAAGGGGTCAGAAAGTAGACACCAGAACCCATTAATGGTGACAACAGACAACCTAGCTCCTCTACTGAGATACATATTATAGAGACAGGATGTATATATATATATATATATATATATATATATATATATATATATATATATATATATATATATATATATGGAAATATTGTAAAGACGACGGTAATATACAAGGTAGCTTTAAAACAGGAAAGACCATACATTGACCGACCAACTGACACGAAACACTGATGCACACGAAGCCCCGAAGTGAAGGGGAACGTGTAGTGTTGTTTAAACAAGAAATGCAGATTTGGACGCGAATATTCAAGTTCTGTGCCTAGTCATTGATTTTCACCCCGTTTACATAGTTAGATCCATTGTATTCACACAAAACATATACCGTTATATCACAATTATGAGGTGTACATATGGTGGCGAGTGCTACTGATAAAATTTATGAGTAGTATATAAAGAGACGTTCATCGACATGGTAACACTAAATAGCAGGGAGATGGATTTCATGTCAGAGAAAGCAAGTGATACAGCGTTGTGAAGATATATGGGAGACGTGAAAGGAACACAAAGAAACAAGATATAGAAGGTTAGAAGTATCATAGCTAGTATGATATCTATTGCATGTAACAAGGTATATTTAGCTTTAGATTGTGGTGTTTATAACTGATTAGAGTTAACACGTAAATGAAGCACGAATTATATGTAAATGCGTATAATGTATTCACAGTATTCTAAAAAATTACTTCTGAATAAACGTTAAACACAAAACAACGTTAAATGCACATAGATCTGATTAACTGGATTTGCACACATTGTAAAACAGAAAAAGGTACTCTGGATAAAGGCATTACACGCCTAATAATCTATAACAAAATATCAGTGCATACAACTCAATGTTTTAAAAAGTAAGAGTAAACTTTATTTAGTTGAAATAAAAAGATATCCTTTAAAACGATTAGTCCCTTTTATGAATTTGGAAAAAGCCATAGGACGGCGTAATTTGTCTGAATCGTGTATTGTGTATTTGAGAAACACATTTCGAACAATCTGACCACACACCGACTTGTCATGGGAATACATATAGATATTAAAATAATAACGAGTTCAGAGGCGAGAAATTAGGCACTTAGGTCAAGTAAAAAAAAGATATATTGAAGGTGAAAATAACAATGAAGACCACTAAACCAAATGACAGAGGTAATATTATCAAAACAAAGTTTACCAAGGAAGGTTTAGTGTGATGACGAATTGTTTCTGAACGCCTAAAGGTGGTTTAAACTTCCTAATTGCTAGCTAGGGATTCCACAAACCTTAGGACACACCCCAAACACGTATTATAGATAGTTTTAAAAGATGTGTTAACGTCAATTTTATATCCTGTCTGTATAACATGTATCGCAATATAGGAGCTAGGTCGTCTGTCCTACCCATTAGTGGGTTGTGGGGATTCTATTTGCTTTAGGAGCTATTTAGGAATATGCTCTGGAGCAATTAATTGCAGACAAAATACGTCTTCTTACTGCTTTATCCAAAAAGATATACAATTGTTGAAGTGGAACAACTTGATATTTCCATTGAATGTTTCGTCTGCAAATATTTTGAAAGTATACACTAGCAGAGAGTGTCTCCCCTAGCTATTTATGAAACGTAAGTAATTAAGAGTTGAGCTGACTAGTTTACAACCCAAAGCTACAATATAAATAGCTTAGATTTTTTTGAACTAAGGTGTAATGTCGTGAAAAAAAGAAATGTTACCACTCAACAACCAATTGCGATTTCATGCAGTTGACAATCAGCTCCACTTGTGTAACAGCTAGTGATACTACCTGGTCAGCTAGATTTCAGTGGGTGGAGCGGGTTTCGAATTAGTGACTCACCTAGATCGATAAGCCACGGTGCCATATACTAAGGTCATCTCTAAAAAAGAGTTCCTCACTATAGGCAAGAACTTTAATGGAAGATATTCTAATGATACATTTGTTATTACACTTAATGCGATTGTAGTCTTTATGAAAGTGTAAAGATTATAACTGGAATGTTATTGATTTGTGTTAAAGATGACAATTTAGGATATGAAGTATTATTAAATGAGAATAATATCGAAAGTAGGCAAGCTGACTCACCACAACAGTCAACAGTTTCGCTGAATCCTAATCTGAATGGTACAAAGTTGTGACAAACAAATGAGGTATTTGAAAGCACTGGAGGTGTTTACCTTTATTCCCATTATCTCTTATCTTTGCCCTATAAAGATTTACTTATAAATATCATTTCTCAATCTTTCATCGTTATAATTTCTCCCTGCTGTGATGACAGGGATTGTTTTAATAAGTTGGACTAGTGCATAAATTAATCCAATCCATACAAAATACATAATCTAAGTATCAATCTCTAGCTCATCAGAGGCTGCTGGATGGATACCCCAAAGTTATAAACAGAAATCTTGGCCAGTAGGATTCGTCGTGTTAAACTGAAGTGGTCATAGAAGTCATTGACTAGCCTCAGCGCTGCATCACGAATTGATAAAGTTAGAATTTACAGATGAATGAATTTTAGCCCAACTGGGTCAATGGTCGACGAGTTTTGCCTCGTAATGTGAAGGTCCCAGGTCTGCTTCTTGGTTGTGCATTACTGAAGAGTCCCAAACTAGGACAAAACAGCTAGCCAGTGCTCCCTGGTTTTCAAATGTCTCTCACTGATTTGGGTTTGTGACAAATCTAAGTTGAAATTAATACATAAGTACGATAATTAACACTATCCTCATTTTTTACACAATGTTATCACAATAAATCATTTGAAAATCCAAACATTATATACTTCAAAGTACTTCAGAGAATTAATAAAAAATTTTAACTCACTTTCTCCTCTTTTAATGCTTGAACAACAGAATCCAACTGGATCATACGTCCCTCTAAGTCTTCCAAACGTTGTTCTACAACATTTTTACTACTCTGTAGATCAGATAACTGAGTTTTTAATTCAGTATTCTCCTTACGTAAACGTTCCACTTCATTACGTGCAGCTATACAACATGGTTCCGGATGATGATGATGTGCATTTAGATGATTTTGTGCAACACCATTAGTACTTTCTGTATTATAAGCGTTTATGAGTGAATGCAGTGTAGTATTCTTCGTGTGTTCAGATGATTTCATGATATTAACTGTTGAATCTGGTACAGAAATAGAATTAGCACTAGTATCACTCACAGTAGAAGCAGTTGTAGTAATACAACTATTGGTTGTATGTACACTAGCTCTATGTTGAACTATACGACCAGTATGTGATAAATGTAAACGACGTGAACCAGGTACAGGGCCTGGACGACTTGTTATCGGAGGTATTGGACCAGTTAAATCAGATTCATCATCGTCAACGCCATCACCATCAACACCTTTTTGTTGTCGAGTTTTACTTGATTCTTTTCCATCAATAGGTGATATTGGAGAAACTGATGAACTATTACTATTATCAATGAGTAAAGTGTCTGTTCGATTTTGACGACCATTATCTTCACAGTTCATATTTGTTGTTTGTACATTCACAGAAAGTGCTATTTGATCTGTAGATGAAAGAGAAACAGCAGGGGAGGAAGACGATACGATTGTCTGAGTGGTGTTTAAACAGTTGTTAGCATCATTGATGTCCACTTCACCAGCTACCTAAACGTGTGAAAGTGAAGGAAAAAAAGGTTAAATAATAACCTTCGTTGGTATATAATGAAAAAAAACTTCAGCTAGAAATACTGACCTGATTAGAAGTCAAAATGACAATTTAGATTAGTAAATAAATCCAAGAAACAAGTCCTCGTGTGATGATCATAGGGGGATCAGCCTAACGAACATAGTCTCTAAAATCCTAGGCTCAGTAATCATGCATAGACTAAGCAGAACTCGGGAGGAACAGACAAGGGAAAATCAAGCAGGCTTTAGACCAGGTAGAGGGTGCATAGATCATATCTTCACTCTTCGACAGATTCTAGAACATAGACACACTTTTCGGCGTCCAACAATTGCCATATTTCTTGACTTGAAGGCGGCCTTCGACTCCGTGGATCGAAAGGTACTATGGCAATGTCTGACTGTGAAGGGAGTGCCAAGAAAGTACGTTGCACTAATCAAGGCACTCTATTCAAACTCACGTAGTCGTGTAAGGGCTTATGGGGAATTGTCATCTGAATTAGTAACAACCAGTGGTGTCCGACAGGGATGTCCACTTTCCCCATTTCTGTTTAACTTCATCATAGATATGCTAATGGAAGTATCCTTAACTGAACGTAATGACTTAGGAATCGACTTGTTACCAGGGAATAATCTAATGGACTTAGAATATGCAGATGACATAGTCCTGTTAGGGGAGGATGCTGACAAAATGCAGAGTCTTCTGAACACCTTGAGCAGCAATCTTCGTATGTTTGGCATGCGATTCGCCCCTGCAAAATGTAAGATGCTGCTACAGGACTGGACCACGTCAACCCCTAACTTAGTGATAGGGAGTGAAGTGATAGAACATGTTGACCACTTCACCTACTTGGGAAGTTGTATTAGCACCAACGGACTGATTGGCGATGAAATCTCAGCACGGATCCGAAAAGCTCGAGCTGCTTTCGCTGACTTACACCATCTCTGGCGTAGGCGTGACATCCGGTTATCAACCAAGGGACGTGTGTACTGCTCATCAGTTCGCTCCGTCCTTCTCTATGGCTCTGAAACATGGCCAATACGCGTTGAAGACATGAAAAGGTTGACTGCTTTCGATCATAGATGTCTGCGATCTCTGTCTCACGTTAGGTGGTTTAATAAGGTAAGTAATGTTGACGTTAGGCGTAGAGTGTTGGGCAAAGAGGGAAAATCAATCGACGAGGCTATAAAGTTACATAGACTAAGATGGCTAGGTCACATGGTGCGCATGCCTAACCACCGCCTCCCCCGACGGGCATTGCTAGCTGATATAGGTTCAGGTTGGAAAAGAGCCAGTGGTGGCCAAACAAAAACATGGCCTCATCAATCCATGAAATCCTTGACAGTTAAACTGAGTCAGGTAGGGAGATGCAGACTTCCGGGTTGGGGCCCTCGGGACTCTAGGAATCAATGGCTGGAGACAATAGGTGACATGGCTCAAAATCGTTGTCAATGGTCAGCGCAGATGTATTCAGTCTCTGTAATCTTTCATATTCCTTTCTACCATTACCCATTCTGTTTCACTCTTATACTTGTCAAACTCTATTAATTCTCTTCACTCATCTTCTTGTCTACCTCTGTGTGCTATTTGGAAGGTGGCAACTCGAACTGCTGCACTTCGGTTCCAAGTTCTATGTTGAATCCAGACAGACAGACAAATAAATCCAAGACAACAAGGGATCCTGGTAAAGAAACCAGCTAAGAACTCATCGCCCAACAAACATACCAAAGGAAATGGTGATGGATCGGACACACGCTAAAGAGCCCGTTGAGTAACATCATCTACTCACCTGACTCCTCAAGTAAAACCCTAATGGATGTCTGAGGGTGACATGGAGGAGATTGTGTGTGGAGGAAGACGAGAGTTGGTGAACAGTCATGGAGCCAGCCAAAGAGTACTGAAGAGAACAAGACGAAATGGAGATGTGATATTGAAGCGTTGTGTTCTACTCGGAACATAATGGAATAATAATGTCTCTGTTGTAATTCTGTAAAATAATCCGACTCAGTAAAATGCTGCGTACTGCATGAAAGTACTGTATGAAAGCTCATGATACTTTATGCTTAATCACTAAGGTTGAGGTACGTGAGATTTTCAGTACTTTATACTCACGACCCCGTGACGGACTGCAACAAAGACCTTCAGATATCTAAAGGAGTATGTTAACATTCAGCCAACAGGTTGGTACTCAACGTTTGATGACTTGAAACTTCTACGGATTATGGGTACAGTTCCAACAGAGTTCGATGTCAGTCGGTGGTGAGCAACAGCTATTCTTATATCTGACTCCATAGACTCTATAAGCTAAAACGTTTATAAAGTTAGTAAGTTGATGAAGTATCATTGTATAAGTATGAATAATTGGTCATTATTGTAATACACTATAGATAAAGGTAAAACTTACAATACAAAAATAATTGCACAGAAAAAGACGTTATCTAACAGAAAAACAATTGTTGGTGGAATTAAATCAACTAGCACAGGTTGGTATTTATGTATTAGGTAATAACTATAGTCTTGTTTTAAATCCTAGTTAGTCTGTACCACAAAAAAAAATAAGTAATTATATAATTCATAAAGAGCGAACTATTCCGTTCCACATTGGTTGACAGCTAATCAATCGGAATAAAATTTGCGATAAGTAGGGACCAATAACAAAAAGCCTAATACCATTTCAAGGCAAACCATCACATTGCAAATCACATATAAACACTGACCAACGATGTACATTTCTCTTCATTCTGATAGCGTAGTATTACGCTCACAGTAGTCATGAATCTACGTTAAGGTACTCTACAAGGCTAGATATAGGAACTAACTTAACCAGCTTACAAATCTTTGATAAACCACAAGAATTCTACTGCACTGAATCACCTGTGGACAATAAAAGGGAATAAGCAGGGAGAAAACCGGGATCTGGGTTTCTAGCTTACTGATTTCAGTTAGCATGGTGTAACTGCAAAATAGGTCGATCAACTCTGGTCAGCGCCAAATATTAGACAACACGATGTTGGTAACTCTTGAGTGACAAATCAATCTATCACTGAATGAATCTTTTCTTTTCAGGCTGGACTAGGTTGTGTCAGCATCGCAGGTGGGTGTGACAAAACACTTGATAATTATCTTAAAAGAGTGTCGGGTGTCAACTTATATCTGTTTAACAGTCAAAATTATTACAAGTCATTTATTATTATTATTGCTCCCTTGGGTTCCGGTGAATTTTGGAAAGCTGAGTTTCAATTCTCAGCAGAGAAGACGGCTTGCGGGTCAATGTTCTGTAGTAGAATACTCGCAACCGACCATGCAAGTCATCCTGATCCGTTTACCTACCAATGCACTCATAAACCTCGCCTAGTTTACGAGTTTGCTGTAATCCCAGAGGAGAAGGAAAGTTGGGCGTTGGGGCTAGTAATGCCATTCCATGGAAAACAATACCACCACTACTGAAAATTTAAATCTCAAGCTTGAAACCATATATTCCACTCTGAATGATTAAAAAAAAAAACGTGGTCACAATACCTAACAAATAGGTGATATGTATGCGAGTTTTTTTTAAAGGGTATACTACTATCGATGTATGAAACGACCGTTTTATCATTTAGGTCATCTTTAACGCAATGACCACTGAATACTTAGATATCATTTGTGCGTCTTATCAATGGTATGTGACATTTAACCTCACCATCATTAAGATCAACACGCTAACTATACATCAGTAATAGGACAAATGAAACTTTTAAACAGAAAGAATTAACAGAAAGTGTAGATACTGACTGACTGGTTTCAAGCTTTCAACTTTGCGCAGATGTACAGTAGTTCGAGTTGCCACACTCCATGTAGCACATAAGGCAAGAGAAGAGATATTTAAAAGAGAGATAATAAAACAGAAATATAAGACTAAAAGAATAAGATTTTATTGGATATTACAAATCACAAAGAGTGAATCCATCTGCACCAGCCATTGAGAACCATTCTGAGCCATATCACAAATTATATTCAGCCACTGACTTTTACCATCTTTAGGACCCCGACCAGATAGCAGTCTACATCTCCCTAGGTGGCTTAAACTAACTTGTAGATTTCATTGACTGATGAAACCATGTTTTGGTTTGACCACTACTGGCACTTTTCCAACCTGACTCTATGTCAGCTAACATTGCCCGTCGAGGAAGACGATGGCTAGACATACGTAACACATCCTAAACATATCAATCGGTATAACTTCACAACCTCGTCGATTGATTTCCCCTCCTTACTTAGCACTCAACCGAAGCGTAACTTCAATATCACTCGCCTTATTAAACCATTAAAAAACGGAGATACAACACAGAAAAGGTAGACACACAAAAATGGAATACAGTATAGTGACAAACGAATAATTTTCTCTTTATGAGTCATCTACTTACAGAACTACATTCTAGGCATAAATTATATATTTGTTTTTGGACATGTCTGGCTTTTAATGATATTTGTGCAAACATAAAACAAATAGACTATAGAAAATTAATGTCCCAGTTTTTGTATATATTCAACTGAAAATTTCTAACTGCCTTCAGTGGTAGTACAATATACTATTATTATTGTTGCCCTCAAGTCGGGTTAGAAAAACGAAGAGGGAAAATATAGGTAAATGCTTTTATCCTTCTCTTTTCAGTACTAAAACTAATATCACATGTAATTATTTTCTTTGAAAGTATGCAGACATTAACTGGTTTTATCTACTGCAAAGTGAAACGTGACTAATGCATTTTTGAAAAAGGTGAAGGATACTTGTCATACCTCAAGGTCATCTCTGTATAAAAAGAGGAAATGACTAACTGTTAAGATATGGTGGCCCAGTAGGAAGCATTCACACATTAACTGATTCAGCATTCATAATCAGTCACTTGCATTCTCGTTACTATGATGACGATGATAATACAAAAGCTTAGCTAAAATGCTCAAATATAAATGTGAGACAATATTGGAATATGGCGACGTA